AAAGTGCTGGAACTGAACATTAGCATAAGTATAGGGACACTCTATACCTTGGAAGCACTTCAGCTTGTGAACTTCTATAGAGGTTAACAGAGTGTTTCTTTTGTCTTTCTTTGTAACAGTGTTTATCTCAAAGTGCCTAGGTTCCACCCCCTCAGCTGTCACTCAGATAGTGGGACGGGAATCTTCCTCACATACTTGCTATAGCTTCTCTATCAGGGTTATTCGCTAAATAAGAATTCATAGTGAATTTTAAATGTAAGTCCAGGGTAACTGCACTGAAAGCAAAGTTGAATTAAATGGACACTCCAGACCCCTAAAGCAACGTTAACTTGGTGAAACGCTTTATGTGTGAAGAGTGGGTCCTCCCTTTTTCATTTTGCAAAAAGTTCAGATTTTTAAGAGAAATTTACACTTTTATAAATTAACCTGGTTATACCCCCTTGGCTGACAATCAGCCAACTGGTCTTGTTACTTCCTGGTTTGGTTATCTCAGTGGAGCTAAACATAAGAGGTAGCAATTGCTCAGAGCACCTGGCTTGCAAAGACTTCTCATTGAGCTGCATTAGAAAATCTGTGATTTTGCAGCCACAGAAAGTCTGAGCGAGGTTAGAAGGAGACGGTTTGAAAACGCTGCATACAAGAGAACTACCGGTTTTGCAAGCGGTTTTTTTATATACCCCCAGTGAAAAAGGAATAATTAAATGCATGCAAATTTAAATTTGGGGTATATCTAATAAACAGTGATTTTTATTTATTTTGTATTTGGGCAGTGGAGTGTCCCGGAAAAGAATCTTTCCAGTTCGGCTATTTTTAACTTAAAATTCTCTTTTAACCCCTTAATGATGGAGGAATTGTACAAGTTCTGACCAAAACAGAATGTAAACAAAACCTAGAGTTTGATCTAGACAAGTGCAATTCGTTTCAGTCCGATGTAAATTCGGATGAATTTCGGGCAATTCGGACATTCAGATGGTTCCGAATGTCCGAAGTGCCGAAATGCGAATTTCCAAAGTTCAGTAGTTCGGAAGTGCTGAACCAAACCGAATTGCTGAAGTCCTGAATTGCTGAAGTTCTGAAGTACTACTGATTTCTGAAAAGTGGCAAAACAAGAGAGAGGGAGGGAAAATTACGTGAATGATGACAGGAATCTTGACCAATAAGCTAATTCCTGGCACTGGGAGCCCTATAAATGTGTAAGTGGTTGTTGTGGCAATCCTGGCACTAGGGGCCCTACAGGTGTGTAAGTGGTTGTGGTGGCACTGGGAGCCCTATAGATTTGTAAGGGGTTGTGGTGGTTAGGGGTAGGGTTAGGGGAAGGGGTCGGGTTAGGAAGCCCTACAGATGTCCCGAATTGCCGAAGTCCCGAATTGCCGAAGTTCTGAATTTCGGAAGTGCCAAACCGAATTGCCGACGTGCCTAATTTCTTTTCTTACCCGAATTTCCAAACCAAACTGAATTTTTTTGCCCATGCACATGCCTAGTTTGAGCTATATGTTGTTCTACCATAATTTCCATTTTTCATAATAAGTGTACCCATATGCCATATTGTTAAGGAGAAACAGGGCTTTTATTTCACATCAAATATTTATATATGAAACATAATTTACTATGAATAAAGCCTAAGAAACCAAAGAAATTAAGACATTTTGCTATTATATATATTTTTAACAAAAATACAGTCCGTCTGGCACTCTATCTAAAAAAGTTAGAAAGTCAGAAAATACCAAGGTGCTGCTCAGCATAGAAATTATATTCCAAATGAAAGAATGAA